TAGCAAGTAATTTTCCAAATGTTTCTAATCCCAACATATCAGCTTTCATATATGCAGTTTTTAGTAATTATTGATTTAATAATTTTTTGATTTAATAATTTTGAGATAATAATTTTGATAATTGATTGATAATTGATTGATTGATATGGTGATTGATGGTGATTAATGGTGAATAGATGATAATTAATAATAACAATAATAATAAATAAATAAATCAATAATAATAAATAAATATATAAATCAATTAAATAAATGAATACTGTAAATAAATATACCAAATCTCCCGATTCATCAAATCCTTTTAATTCCAAATCTTCGAAATTCTGAATGGTTCGCAAAACATTGTCAGCCCTTATTGAATTACGTCATTCGAATCATTTGATAAAAATTGATTTGACGCGTCTTTTTTTTTTTTTTTTGTCATTTTACCTTATCTTTCATTTTTTTTTTTTTTACCTCTTACTTTTCCTTCTATTTCTTTATTCTTAAAAATAGGAACAAGAAAATATATAAATTATAAAAGAAATATATAAAGAAATATATAAAGAAATATAAAAGAAATATAAAAGAAATATACAAGTAATATTAAAAATGGCAAAACAAAAAAAAGCTTCAACAAATAAGAACGAAGATAATAATAATAATAATAAAAAAGGAACTAAGGGAGGGGGAGGAGACGATGGTACTTTTATTATAATTATTCTTCTTATCCTTCATATATACAAATATGAACAAGTTTTAATTATTATTATTACCATTATTTTTATTAGCTGAACAAAAAGTGTTGGGATATTTAAGAAGACAAAATCGACCATATAGTGTCAGTATCCTTTTGCCTTTTGATTAATTAAAAATATTAATTAAAAATATTAATTAAAAATATTAATTAAAATATTAATTAAAATATTAATTAAAATATTAATTAAAAATATTGATTAAAATATTAATTAAAATATTAATTAAAAATATTGATTAAAATGTTAATTAAAATATTGATTAAAATGTTAATTAAAATATTAATTCAATATTAATTAATATTTAATTTTTAATTTATATTTTTAATTATTATTTTTAATTAATTAATAATATTTTATATATATTAAATTTATATAATATATAATATAATTTATTTGATTTTAAAACCTTAATCATCAATTGTTCGAATTTAACAATTTTTAGCTGATATTTCAAATAATCTTCACGGAGCCGTTACAAAAGCTATAACCCAAAAAGTTTTAACAAATCTAGTGGATAAAGAAGAAGTTTCATGTAAAACTTATGGGAAACAATCTGTATATGTAATAAAAAAAGTAAAATAAATAAAATATATATATAAATAAAAAATGTATATATATGTATGAATGAATAGTTACTATATTTGATTAATTGATTTGATTGTTGATAATAAATTAGGATCAATTCGAAACACCTTCACCAAATGATTTGAATGAGATGGATACAAAAATTCAAGAACTTAAAAAAGAAGTTAATGATTATAAAGATCGAAACAAACAATTACAATCAGGTATTTTACTTTTTTTATATATCGCATTTTGGGGGATGGTTATTATTTTTTATATAATTTTAGATATTCATTCGTTACATGACATAATATATACTTTATACAATTATTTATTCTAGTGCTAAATGGATTAAATAATTCTTTAACCAATGAACAAATCGAAACAAAGTATTTTATTTTATTCATTTACTCATTCAAATATTTATTTATTTTATTTATTTATTTTATTTTATTTATTTATTTTATTTTATTTTAATTGTTTATTATTATTATTATTATAATTATTATTATT